AGAATAAAAACAGAAACAGAAATAGAAACAGGAAAAAAACAGAAACATAAACCGAAAGAGAAGCAGAAACAGAGCCAAAAACATAACCAGAAACAGAAAAGGAAACAGAACCAGAAATAGAAACAGATCCAGACAAAGTAACAGAAACAGTAACAGAAGCAAAAAGAGAAACAGAAACAGAAACAGAAAAAGGAACAGAACCAGAAACAGAACCAGAAACAGAAAAAAACCAGAAACAGAAGAAAGCCAAAAATAGAAACAGAAACAGAAACGGAAACAAAACCATAAACAGAAACAGAAACAGAAAGAAAAACAGAAAGAAAAACAGAAACAGAACCAGAACCAGAAACAGAACCAGAAATGAAACAGAAACAGTAATAGAAACAGAAACAGAACCAGAACAAGAAATTGAACAAGAAACAGAACCAGAAACAGAACCAGAAACAGAACCAGAAACAGAACCAGAATCAGAACCAGAAACAGAACAAGAAACAGAAACAGTGTCAGAAACAAAAACAGAAACAGAAACAGAAACAAAAAACAGAAACAAAACCAGAAACAGAAACAGTAACAGAAACAGAAACACGAACAAAAACAGAAACAGAAATAGAAACAGAATAAAACCAGAAACATAAACCGAAACAGAACCAGAAACAGAGCCAAAAACCTAACAAGAAACAGAAGGAGAAACAGAAACAGAAACAAAAACAGAAAAAAGGGAAATAGACACAGAAACACAACCAGAAACAGAACGAGAAACCAGAAACAGAAACAGAACCAGAAACAGAAAAAGAAACATAAAGAAAAACAGAAACTGAAATATAAACAGAAAGTAAAACAGAAATAGATAGAGAAACTGAACCGGAACCAGAAACAGAACCAGAAATAGAAACAGAAACAGAACCAGAAACAGAAATAAAATCAAGCCAGACACAGAATCAGAAACAGAAACAGAAATAAAAACAGGAACAGAAACAGCAAAAGAAACAGAAACAGAACCAGAAACAGAAACGGAACCAGAAACAGAAACAGCAAAAGAAACAGAAACAGAACCAGAAACAGAAACGGAAACAGAAACAAAACCAGAAACAGAAACAGAACCAGAAGCAGAACTAAAAACAAAAACTGAAACAGAAACGGAAACAAAAACACAAACAAAATCAGAATCAGTAACAGAAACAGAAACAAAAAGAGAAACTGAAACATACAAAGAAACTAAAACAGAAATAAAAACAGAAACAGAACCTAAAATACAACCAGAAATAGAACCAGAAATAGAAACAAAAACAGGAACAGAAACAGAAACT